ATATTATATCGTATTACACTAATTACTCCACTCCAGATTGCACTAGATGACAATTATGAGATTTATTAATTTCCACCGAATGGAATTTTTTGTTAGTATATTTTGGTATAGTGATAAGTTTACGGTCAATGCAATCCACTTCAACTGGGTTATGTGGTCACATTTCTTCTCACCAATATCACGTATGGGTTCAATTTATGTGTTCAAGTCCAACTCTCACCAATATTTGGTATAAACGCTGTATATCTCTAATAATTTCTTTACCAAAAACATAAAATTGGGATTTTTTTTTGTTATACCTCATATACGGTAATATAACAAGTAAACTAAGCAGGGCTAGATACAAACAAGGGGTATTATCACTTTTAGCCCGCGTCAGAAACTATTTACATTCGGTAGCCGAAAAAGTATATAAAATTTGTATAATTTTTGTATATAACATACAGAGTATGTGTGTGTGTGTGTGTGTGTGTCTATATATATATATATATATATATATATATATATATATATANCATTTTCCATTTCTTCTAGCCTCCCCGACTCTCTAGAAATCTCATTTAATTTCAGCTCCAAAAGATGTTGATCGTAAATGAGAAGATTGGTTCCGTAGAAAGACGAAAGTGGTTTCGTATTCATATACATAAGAATTATATAATAATAAGAAGAAGAAGAAGAAGAAGAAGAAGAAGAAGAAGAAGAAGAAACTTTGATTTTATTTCTTTTTTTGAAAAGGAGTAATCACGCTTCTTTGAAGTAATAAGACTATTCAAATTGTAATATTCATGGAGAAAGAATCGTAATAAATGTAAATAAGAGGCACCTTTTATCGGGTATATCTTGCCACGCTGGATAAAACAATTATTCTAATCTAGACTCTAAAAGAATATGTATGTTGATTCATATCAATTAATTAGAAATTAATTCGAAGGAAAAAAGACCCATACAAATTAATCATGTGCCAGAAATCAGATTTGAATTGGTGACACGAGGATTTTCAGTCATCTGCTCTACCAACTGAGCTATCCCGGCTATTCCCAATGTAGTATCCTCATTTTATTAGAAAACTAGGGTCTATGTCAATTAAAAGGATAAGAGAAGATTAATTTTTTTATCAAACACGGGAATTTCTTTGAACTTACGACCAATCGGTTAACAGCGGACCGCTCTACCACTGAGCTACTGAGGAACAACCGGAGATTTTATCTCATAGAGTTCAATTCCCGTTCTCAACTCATGACCAATATGAGCTTGAAGCTTCCTTCGTAACTCCCGGAACTTCTTCATAGTGACTCCCTTACATTCCTCGTTTCATAGGGAACCTCAAGGTGGCTCTATTTCATTATATTCCATCCATATCCCAATTCCATTCATTTTATATTCTTTTAGTATCATTGACACAACAGATGTCGTTTCTAGTTTATCTCTTTCTATTTCTTTTCTACATATGGAAAGTTCTAAAATTATCATATAATAATCCACAGAAATCGCAATAAAAAAAAGAAATAAGGGAGGTTTGTGATGATTTTTCAATATTTTATACTAGGTAATCTAGGATCCTTATGGATGAAGATAATCAATTCGGTCGTTATGGTCGGCCTCTATTATGGATTTCTGACTACATTCTCCATAGGGTCCTCTTATCTTTTCATTCTCCGAGCTCTGGTTATATTAGTAACAACTGGTTTTATTACGGGGTAGCTCATGATGTTCATATCGATCTATTATGCATCTTTATTTGAGTTGCAAACTTTTTTTGGGTAAATAAGCTTTCTATTTATCTGAATAGACCGTAGAGGTAGGGCATCAATCCTAAAGTTGGACATGCAACCCCAACTTTAGCGTGCATCTATAGCTTCTTTTACTAAATCTAAACACTCAAAATCCTTAACTACTTAGTATATTGTAGCTAATTGCACCTGGTTAGACATTCTCCTTGTTGCTTCATGGATAGAAATTTAGGCTGGCCATTCCTCTACAATGTATGTCTTGTATAATCATCTTTACAATCATATCCTCTGATTTACGTTTGTTCTGGAACAATTTTAGATTCCTTTCCTGCCAGATATAATAAATGCTCCCGGCTAAAGTCATTCTATATATTTCAGCTTTTCCACATTTCCATCGTGCATTGCCTATTTCCCACATTATCTACCCAGACCATCCCAATATAGTTTTGTTGACACCTTACCATATGAGTAGTTGTTACCAGATTCTAGGTGCTATAGCGCACTCAAAGAATAAGTGTTGAGTGGTTTCCTGCTCTTGCTCACGTAAAGGGCATATCGGGCTACTCTGCATCCCCCACTTGATGAGCCTATCTCTAGTATATAGCCTATACAATACAGGAGTTTGGATTGTGATGTTAGATTGATGTTTTCTTACTCTTTAATTATATTTTTGATGACTTTCTCCATAATTATGGAGTAGTTTCCCTTAGGGTTTGACAGATATGGTGTTTTGATTGATATTTGTGGATTTTAACTCTACTTTTTTTCTTGAATTTGTTTGTGGGGCTTTGAATTGGTTACAACTTTATTCATCGGTTTATTTAATCGTAATCGGAATATTGTGATGATTATCTTGCATTATTTTGTTTGGTTTAATTCAGTGATTCTCTTAAGTAATCGAAAGAGCTTATTGAATTGTTGATTAAATCAAGTTAGGAGAATATTCAAGAGACGTTTTTCTGAAGACCAATCCATTAACGCATGCTTACATATTTTCACAGTGCTTATATTAGTTATCCCGTAGAGCTAAGATTTAATCGAGAGAGGACTCTTGACTACACGTTTGAACTAATCATCGAGTGAATTCGTGAGAATCATTAGAACATTAGAGTGAATTGAACTAGAGTTGGATCCCAAATGGCTATCTTGCACCTATCCTGTCACGACCCTTATTTCTTCCATTGATATTTCAGTATTGCTCAACTCTTGTATTCCAGTGATCAATTGTTAATTATTTTAGTTTCATAGTAAATTTTAGTTATTAATCATCCCAAATAAAATGTTAATTATCATGAATAATGTTAAGCTAGAAATTATCGAATATTATTTAAATCCAATCCTTGTGGAGACGACAAGCATAACTATAATATCTTTGGCTAATGAGTATTAATTTTGTGTTGTATTTGAGCTCGTCATTTATGCATCATGGTGAGATTTCTTTCCTCTCATACCCCTTTATTAATTCATGGCTAAGTATGATATTATCATTGATCACCCTGCCAGGTACAAATGCAGCTTGTCAATCAAATCATCCATAACCCCTTGTAACCTATTTGTTAGCATTTTTGCTATGATTTTGTATATTGTGGTGCAACATGATATTGGTACGAATTCCTTCACAAAAGATGGGTTCTTTACTTTTGGCACTAGTGTGAAAGCAGCACAGTTAATTGTCATGTACATATCTTGAGTTTCAAAAAACTTAAGCATGTATTGGTCTCCTCACCCCAACTGATATCCAAGATTTTTTGAAGAAGCATGATTTGAAATTATCAACTCCTTAAACTCATCAATCCCATGTAGTGCTTGATATACCTCTCCCTTGTCAAATGGTCTGATAAGTGTCTGGTGCTGCCTTCTATTAAGAATAGGACATGTGTTCATTATGTTAGGCTGGATTGCTGGTAATGTTGTATTTGCATTTTCTAGCAGCTGCTTGTAGAATTTGAGTATCCCATCCTCTATGCCCTTCTCTATTTGCAGCAT